AAAGACCCACAGTGGCTGGCCACTCCCTGGCACAAGGCTGCTTGGGCAGTTCTGTCTGCTACCACGTACCAGCCTGGAATGCTCGGTGTTTAGTCCAGAACCAGGCACTGGGAGTGGACCACTGCTGAGCAGACTGTGGGGTTGGGGTACAGGATGGCTGCAGGAACAGGCCGCGGTGGCATGGGGGCTTATGCTTCCCGCTGCCGTGGGGTCCTCAGGAACCTCCTTTCTGTCCTGGAGCAGCATAGGTCCTTGTACCTCATACATGTGAAACCTCATGTCAAACCTAATTTCCAGAGGGTTATGCAATGCTGGGAAAAAAGAAGTGATATAGACAGATTTCTCATCAAAATTGACCCTGGAGGTGAGAGACGAAACAGGAAGGAACTATTATGTTAACAGTATTCCTTAGTTATTGTGGGCTGATCAGGCCTGAAATCTCCCAAACAAGTGGACGCTTAAATAAATGAGACAATTGAAATGATTTCAGAGCTCCAGCAGAGTTCAACCCTATTACAGACTTTTAGATTCTCTGGGTAGACACAGACTTCCCTGAGTGGCCCAGCCCATGTTTATTAGGTTTTCAAATAAAAGAGGGACTATAATCTATTTTTTTTTTTTTTTCAGTGCTAGTAATCGAACTCACGACCTCACGCTTGCCAGGCAGGCTCTGTGCCACTGAGCTAAATCCCCAGCCCCCAGGAGGGAGATACTGAAGAAAATGCAGGAATCTGGGCAGGATTTGGGAAACCCTTTATGGAATTCTTCAAGTAATACTTAGGAGAACTATGCTATCTCCAGGAAGGCCTTCACTGCAGGAGTGAGATGCCTGCAGCTTCTCTTAGCTAATGGGGATTGGAGCCAAATGTCCTCCGCTGTGTCTTGTCCTTTGAAGCCTCATGGCTTCACCCACCACTATAGGCCTCAGTAGGGACCAGCGACTCCCAAGTGAACATGGAAAGCCAACTGGTTAATATTAAATCCTGCTCAGGGCTGCTTCATAGTGGTCTCCATCAAGAACCCCCCTAGAGGAGATCTCCCCCATGTCCTTAGGGAGAGGGACTCTTTCTCCAAACGGTAACCACTTCCCCACCCCGCTTCCTGTTCTCCATGCCAGAAATCACCTCAAGCAAGGTTAGAGTTCTCTCTGCATACTTTACTGTCCTTCCCTCCTTCCTTCCTTTTCTTCCTTCATTCCTTCCTTTTCTTCCTTCCTTTTTCCCTTCCTTCCTTTTTTTTTTTAATTGAGACAGGGTCTTGTTATATAGCCCAGGCTGGCCTTGAATTCACTTTGTAGCCCAGGCTGACCTCAAACTTGTGGCAGTCCTCCTGCCTCAGCCTCCTGTGTGCTGGAATTACAGCCCTGTGCTACCGCGTCCAGCTCCTTGTTTCATATTTTTTTGGCTAAAAAAATACATATGGTCTAGAACCTATTAACCTTATTTACATTGAACCTTATGGGAAAATTTGATATGGTTTGCTGTCAGTTCAGTTCAGGGCCAGAATCGAGGTACCAGTGTGGCTGACCGTGGTCTTTTTTTTTTTTTTTTTTTGCTGGGAATGCCAAATGAAAAAGGTTTGTACCTTGTTTCTGGTGGAAAGCAAGGAAAAGGGTGCTTAAAGTATAAAATTTATATTACTCATTTACTTAGTCCACGGCATGAATGTGCTGTAGCATGTTCCAAAGAAAGGAAAGCATTACACTGATTCTTCCGCTTCTTTTGCCCTGCATATTTGCTGCGTCTTGGCAATTCCTTCTTTCTCCTGTAAGTATTTGAAAATGCTCTGTCTAGTACCAGACAGTACCTGTGTCTACAACTGAAATAGTAAGTGGAAGGCCACAAGAAATCTTGGTGGCACCAGAAATTTGATTGTTTGTTTTCTTCAGACCTTTTGCCCAAAATTAGCCTAAATCAAGCTGGGCATGGTGGTGTACACCTGTAATCCCAGCACTCACTCGGGAGGCTGAGGCAAGAGTATCGCAGTGAGTTCGAAGCCAGCCTGGGCTACAAAGTGAGTTCAAGGACAGCCTGCACTGCATAGCGAAACCTTGTCCCAAAAAGACCAAAAAAAAAAAAAAAAAAAATTAGCCTAGGTCTAGTTAGCAATTGGAACTTTCCTCATTCCTGTTAGCCCGCAGGGGCAGCCTTAACGCAGTATGAAGTGATTAGCAAAAGGCAGTGTCATTGGGCCACAGTGGTCATTTTTGAGTAAATGAAAGCATTTACTACTTAAACTATTAAGTGCTTATTTCTTCATGCATTATGGTTTACAGTACAAAGAGAAAGTATTTTGGATGTGACTCAATAAGTAAGTATCACGTTAGCCTATCTTAGGTGGTTATGTACAATTAGCTATGTAATAATAGGATAAAAAAGACTGTGACTGCATAGATTCAGGATTATTACAGTGGTATCCAAGTATCTTGCGATTCTGTAATGTTAGAAGAAAAAAGTTTTTAAGGCAAAAGAATCTCTTGTGGAGCTGGGGATTTAGCTCAGCAGCACAGCGCCTTGTCCAGCAAGCACAAGGTCGTGAGTTTGATTCCTGGTACTGGAAACCACCCCCCCAGAAAAAAACCACCACCAAAAAAAAAAAGAATCTCTTGTATATTTATCAAAAATGTCATATATCTTCTACTTTTTTCTCATGGAGTGATAAGGGTTAAGAAAGGCCGGTTGAGGCCGGCAGTGATGGTGCATATCTGTAATCCCAGCACTCAGGAGGCTGAGGCAGGAGAATCATTGTGAGTTTGAGGCCAGCCTGGGCTACTGGAACTGGAAAACAGTTCTTTCAGAATTTAGGGAAGACTTCATGAAGGAAGACTGCCTTGAGCCTGAGCTGCACAGTGAGACCCTGTCTCAAAAGGACAAAAAAAAACCGCCATGTTCCGCCCAAGATGTAGACAGTGCTGCCTGTGCAGTGGCCAGGGATCATCTATCCAGAGGTCTTTGCAATCTGACCCAATTTTGGTTCTGCCTTCCAGGCTCATTTTATTGATACCACAGCACTGACCCAAATCCACATGCCAGATAATGACCTGAGCAAGGGAAATACTTCTGTTCCACAGAGAACATCTGTCTGCACCACCAGAGAATTACAGGAACAATCAGAAGGCTACTTGGGGAGCACAGAATTAGAACAAGAGGGGTTAGGGGCTGGGGATTTAGCTCAGCGGCAAAGCACCTGCCTGGCAAACGCAAGGTTGTGAGTTCGGTTCCCAGTACCAGAAAAAAACAAACAAAAAAAAAGAACAAGAGGGGTCAGCCAAATCCAGCATTAATTTAATAGTGGATCGGTGGCCAGTTCCACACCCACCCACGGGCAGGGGCAGCCCTGTCAGTATAACTGACTGCAGAATGCTGCACTGCGCTCCACCTCTAGTCTTCATGTTGTTAGGAGGGGCACAGGCAGCGCTGGCCTCCTGCTCCCTTCTCTGTGCTTTTACAACTGGCTTCTTCGAGTTCCAGGCCAGCCTGGGCTGCCCAGTGACTTCAAGGTCAGCCTGAACTCCCAGAGACGCTGTGTCAACCAAACATTTCTCTGCCGGCATACTCAGTTGCACTGCACTGCAGTCTGATACGCCGGGAAGCCATTCCCTCCCCACACATCTCTGCTCCCCTCCATCCTCTTCTGAGCCTGGTGGTCTCCACTGGGAATTCTGTCTTGTACAGAGTTGTTCACTGCATTATTTCCAAGTACTCAGGATGGGCAGTGCCTCACTCCACCCTTACCAAACGGAGACAAATGTCCCAACGGGACTGGGCCCAGGAGAACTGGAGAATTCAGGGAAGACTTCATGAAGGAAGACTGCTTGACCTGGCTTTTGACAGGTTCGTGGACTGTACAGGTAAAGGAAGCGTGGCTGGGCAGAGGCACAGGTGAGCATAGGGATGGGTGTGATGTGACTGGGGCGTGGAGAGGGCTGCTGTGGCTGGAATGGAGGCTGCCATGACCGTGGGAAAGGCCCGCTAGGCAAGTTATAAAGTAGTTGAACTGGAAGAGGGGAGTCCAAATTGTCAGCTTACTATTCTTTTAACCTTCTAGCACGTACCTGCTGAAAAAACTAATGAACCATTACAATTACTTGATCGAGCAAAACCAAAGCAGAGGCCCCGGGATGGCTATACATATGACCTGTCATAAGCACTCCTGGAGGACAGAGCCAGCTGCAGTGCTTCACCGGAATCTCAGTACAGAGGGCCTCACACATCAGGGAAGGAGGCTGTGCTTGTGTCATAGTGCAAAAGACAGTGCTGTATTCCCTGGCCCTGTCCTTTCCCTCCAGGCTGATGACAGCGCCTGAGAGGTGGAGCGTGTACATCTCTCCTCAGGTCCACAAAAAGAACAGAAATCAGTGATGGGGGAGGGTGACTGGAGAGTGCAACATAGCTTTAGGTGGAAGAAATTTGTTATCACGTTAGCTCTGTCTGCCACACTTCTCCAGAGAGGTTGGTGTGGCATGTTAACTTGGTGTTCACTCTGCAGAAATCTCCTGGGAGTGAAGTTCCTTTAAAAATCTCTCTATCCGGGCGTGGTGGCGCACTCCTGTAATCCTAGCACTCGGGAGGCTGATGCAGGTTGATTACTTTGCGTTCGAGGCCAGCCTGGGCTACCTAGTAAGTTCAGGGTCAGCCTGAACTACCTAAAGACCCTGTCTAAAACAAAACAAAAAAAAAAACAAAAGAAAAAAGCTCTCAAATAACACTTCAATAAAAGCACAAAGCATAACTCAGTTTTAGTGACTGAAAAAACATATCAAGTGGAGGAGGAAAGTGCTTGGATTTGTTTTGTTTTTATTTTTTCATTTAAAAAATTTATTTATTTATTTATTTTTGTCATTTTGAGAGAGTTCATGGTGGCCTTGAACTCACTTTGTAGCCCAGGCTGGCCTCAAATAGTGATCCCCTGCCTTAGCCTCCCGAGTGCTGGGATTACAGGCATGTGCCACCACGCCTGCCTCATACTTTTAGTTTTTTGAGGAATCTCCATACTGATTTCCATAGTGATTGTACCAACACTCCCACCAACAATAGGGTTTCTCTTCCCCCACAGCCTCACCAGCATTTGTTATGGATTCTTATTTTGTGCATTCTGAATCTATTATAAAGATAGGATGTGTTCAGGAAACCTGAATTAATTGTTCTTAACTAGATGAGACAGAACCAACTATAACCAAAACCATCACTAGGACCATCACAGATGTTGCTAAGATGAGTTTGTTGTTATAGCCAAATCCTGGAACTTTTTTTTTTTTGTACCAGGAATTAAACCCAGAGCCTTGCACTTGCCAGGCAGATGCTGTGCCTCTGAGCTATATCCCTGGCCCTGGAACTTCTTCAGTGAGATTACAAAAAAAAAAAAATCTAAATAAAAGCTACCTAACATCTCATTCTTCCAGGTGAGTAGCTTGTAGGCTCTTGAAGAATATTCCAAACCTAATGTGTTACACATTTTATTCTCTGCTTTATCTTGTGGGTCAGTTCACTTCATTCTCTCAAGGAGGGAAGCAAGTGTCACTGCCTCACCCAAGGTTACGGGGGCAGACTGAGATAGAGCTAGGACGCCTGGTCTTCCTGCTCAGGTGCTGCGTGCTGACAAGCAGCGTGTCTGTGCTGTCACTGATGTGGGCCTCAGGGCTGCATGGCTCTGACTCCCACTGGTGCACCCTGACTGCTGGCTGATCACTGAGAGGCGCCATCAGAGAGCCTGGCCGGAGGTGAGTGTGGCACAGGCCAGCAGCACGTGGTCTCAGCAGTGCATTTCCCACAAGTTCAGTTAGCACGAGAAATGATGGGGATTTCTTGGGGATGCAGGGCTGGAGCTGCTGTTGTAACTGGGGTTCAGACTGATCACCTGGGGATGATAGCAGTGGGGACGCGAAGTCTTAAGGGGGCAACCAGTGCCCATGTCGGGGGACTCCCTGTGTCTCTCTGCTTTGGTTATCGGGTGACATCAGGTTGATGCAGTCACAGCAGCGCCTGCAGCACAGACGGTAGTGTCTGTTGGAGAACAGTTCTTTCAGAAGCATCTCCTGCACTTGGTTTTCCACAGAAGGCTGTGCAGGAGCATAGAATTCAGAGAGAGGACTGTCCTGAACATGCGCGCCTCCTGAAGATGAGAATCCTGCGAAGGGGAACCATGAGGCTCCTCACTGCCGAGACCAGGGGCCCCTTGGCAGCCTTAGTCCCCTGTGTGCATTTTCCTCTGTGAGCGGCTCGCTTGACTTGTTCTTGGGCGTTCCCTGGGCCACAAGAGTGATTTTTATGTAATTTGTGATTTTGGGGGGATGTGAGATTGGTTTGGAGCGGTGGTGGCAAACCTGTGGGGCACATGGCACAGCGGGCACACAGAGCCCTCTGTCAGCACGCAAGCTAAGTTGCCCCAGCAGCCAAGCGTCAGGTTTCACCGCAGTGTTGGACCTTTGCAATAAATAAGTGGATTTGGGGTTGCAGTTTAGGCACCCAGTCTCTAAAAGGCTCGTCACCCCTGGGTTACAGGCTTTCATGCTTTTAACTCTAGCACCTCCATATTTTAAAACAAAAATGCCATAGGTAAAGTGTCTTTTTGCTTCTTGCCTGAGGTGGGGCTCCGGCAGGAGTGGAGGTGGGAGACCTGCACAGTGAGGGCCCTTTCACAGCGGAGGGGATTGGTGCCTCTGTTGTGTGTGTGCGTGCATGCGTGTGTGTGTGTGTGTGTGTGTGTGTGTGTGTGTGTCCCTGTGTAGAAAGGCTTCCAGCCAAGCCCCTGGCTCAGTGCCTCCGATGCTGCCCTCGCTCTCCTGTGCTGAGTCTCCGGAGGCTTCTTTCTCAGGGGACATTCTTTGCCAAGGCTGGCCTTCTGCTTCTCCCTAGTCTCTGGTTTCCACATTTCCTTGAGGAGCCTTTTCCGTGCCCTTCCCCTGAGGAGCACGTCACTGTCCTCAGCCTTCTCCTTCCAGCCAGGCCTCCAGCGGGCTGTTTTCCTGTGCTCCAGTACTTGCCAATTTCTTTGGGAAGATTCTGCGTTTAAATTTGAGACCTAATGTCTGGGCTGCATAAGCCTGCCAGTTTTCTCCTGTTAACCTCCTTGATGTTTTTCCTGAATTTCTGCATCCAATAAACTTTGCAGAAAATACAGCTTCATCAGTTCATTTTTGTAAGTTGAATTGCTGGTTGAAAAGGGTTCCTTGTATTGTTTTTCCAATAACCCAGCGAGTTATCTCGGCTGGTACCTTTGAAGAAAGCAGTTGAGTGAATGGCAACAATGTGGATTCTACAGCGCCTAAATTTCCCTCCAGGGAATACAGCGGTATGCAATTGAGAGCGCCAGTCACATCGCTTTCGTCCTGAAGGTGGAGCTGTGTGTTCCTGAAGCCCAACCAGTGGAGACCACTTTCCTTAGAGAGAGCCACTGGAGGGAGCCCTCCCCTTCACGCTGGTGGTGCTTTTCCAAGCCGCGAGTCCTGCGTGAACCCTCCTTCCACTTCCACGTCCCCTTTGGGGGCTTTTGGAACTGTCAGAAAAGACTGCTTTCAGCCAGGGAGGACTGAGGACAGCCCTCTCCATGCGCAGCCGCACAAGTAAAGCAGGGGCCAGGAAGTATTCGAGTGCCATTTAGAAGGGAGAGGTGAGCTTCAGTTTGTGAAAGCCAGCAGCGCCGTGAGAAAAGACCTCTTCGGCTGAAGCGGCCTCCTGCGCATAGCACTGCACAGTGTGAAATGCAGCTGCCTTTTGTGGGAGTCAAGCGCCGTGTGCTGCAGGGTGGCCACAAACACTCGGCTCTCGGTCTCTACAGATCGGCCGGGCTCCTCACATGGCCGGCCAGGCTGCCCGAGCCCCGCTGCGGACTGAGCGCAAGGCTCCTTCCTCCGTCTCTCAGTGCCCGCGTTCTCGCTACCGTCACGCATGACTGCGCTCGTGTGCTGGAGCTGTGCCCTTTCCGTGCGCCCGTCCCCAAGTGTTCGCTCATCACTCCGTCTGTCCTTGCTCTGCAGCGTGCCCGCTTTTCCTGTCTACCCTCAGCACAGCCACTCTGATCCCGCTCCTCTCACCTCGCTCCTATTTTTTTCTTTGTCTTTTTGAGACAGGGTCTCACTTTGTGGTTTTTTGGGTTTTTTTGTTTGTTTGTTTGTTTTTTGTTTTTTTGTCTTTTTTTTGAGACAGGGTCTCGCTGTCAGGCTGGCCTTGAGCTCACGTTGTAGCTCAGGCTGGTCTCGAACTTGCAATGATCCTCCCGCCTCAGCCTCCCGAGTGCTAGGATTACCAGCGTGAGCCACCACGTCCAGGGAAACTCACTTTGTAGCCAGGCTGGTCTCACACAACAATCCTCCTGCCTCAGCCTCCCAGTGCTGGGATTGCAGGCAGAGCGCCACCGTGCCCGGCTCGCTCTTGGGTTTTACCAGAGCTTTCGAGATTGTCTCAGTTGCTACCCGCCAGAGTGCTCTGCGTAGGAACTCTGAAGTAACCCTGTTTAATCATTTTGCTGTCTTGCTTGGAAGTGCTCTATGGCTCTCTGCAGCTAATTATCTGACTTCAAACCCCCTCAGTTGCTATGCAAGGCCAGTAATTAGATAGTATCTTTGCTTCCTAACCTGATTTTTCACAAGTAGCTTGCTCTACTGTCATTCCTGCGCCTTGCCTGTGCCTCAGCTCTGCCCAGGTGTGTTCACTATTTGACGATCACAGCCACAATTCAAGCCCCAGGTAAAGTTTGATCTTACCCAGACAGCTTTCCCTCCCTTTAACTGTGTGACCCCAGCTTCTGAAAAAGGACAGCACCTATGGTCTGCATCTCCTTAGCACTTAATGATACTCCAGCTCCTCCCCCTTTAAATTTTTTTCCTTATTTTTATTTCTTATTTTGAGATAAGGTGTCCCTAAGTCACTAAATTTCCCAGGCTTACCTCGAACCTGTCATCCTCATGTCTCAGGCTCCCAGAGTGCTGGGATTACAAGGTTGTACCCCGGTCTTGCTCACCAGTTCCCTTGTGATGTCGTTCCCTTTCTTTGCATCTGTCAGTTCCGTGTTCTGGAGACAATGGCGTCCTGCTATGGCTCTCACTGTGCTTAGCCCTGGGTTGGGCATGAGATGGATACTCTATGCACCAGGCCAAGAGCAAACAAGAGTTCTGGATATAAGGACTGAAAAATAACAATAACTAGAATTCATATATATCCTAGGCACTGATGGAGTCTGTTCACTTTCCTAAGTCTCACCCTCCTATGAACTGGTAACTACCATAGCCCCATTTTACAGATGAGGAAACTGGAGTCACTGAGCTAAATAATTTGCCCAGTGCAACAAAGCTAAAAACGGTTGATACGCGGAGTCCTGTTCCCCGTCTTCTCCTCTTCATCCTTTTTCAGTGCTGTTTTTTCCTTCTTTCCCGTTTCTTTTTCTGCATTCGGACTTGAAACCAGGACTTTCCCACTGAGCTAGAGCCCTGCCCAGAGTCTACTCCTAACTCCCTAGCTATCTCAGCAGCAGTGAGAGGGGTTGGAAAGAGGACAGAGCAAAAGGGGAGAGGAAGTTTAAGCACCAGGCGGTGGGCTGATGAGGGTGGGTGAGGAGAACAGAGCTGCTCAGCCTCCTTCCCTGCCTCGGCAGCCAGGAGCCTCCGCACCCGCAGCTGCGCTGTGACAGAGAGCGAGTGGAGAGGTGAACGTGCATTTACTTCCCCGCGCACCACAGCCGCTCTGCTCCCTCCGCAGTGGCAAGTCTTGCTGAGCCTGGGCCTCCTGGGCTGCAGAGGAGTCAGCTTCCTCGGGGTGCTGTCAGGGTTGGCCCTCGGCCTCTTGCTGAGGTGAAGCAGATGGGACCTGGGGAATCTCTGCGAGTCAGAGTTTGGCTTCCAGCTGGACTTGAGAAGATGCGACTTCCTCAGGGGTTGCTGGGCGTGGGGCCAACCCCTGGGAGCAAGCAGGGAACCGCAGGTCATCAAAGCCCCCAGGGTGCCAGCTATGGAGTGACATGGGTGGGAGGTCAGGCGAAGACCAGGGCTCAGTGGGCACACAGCGCTCTGTGGTCTGGTCAGTGGGACCGGTGCCTGTTCCACTGCAGAAGTGGGGCTACCAGGCCCAGTAGCCACAGCCGTTGCCAGGCAAGGGGTCCGAGAGCCCAGAGGCACAGCAGGAACACAGCAGGAGGCAACCTTGATGGCCCAGGCCGGTGGAGAGCTGGTGCTCCGAGCTGAGCAGCGGAACCCTCTGGCAGTGACCTGCCCCTCACTCCTTGGCAACCATTCAAGTTCTGCCCCACCCTTTATGACATCTTTTTTTTTTTTGTACAGGAACTCAAACTCAGGACCTTGTGCTTGCCAGGCAGGCGCTTGTGCCACTGAGCTATATCCCCGGCCCTATGACATCTTTGTTAAGGAAACCTTTATAGGGTCGGCCCCAGATGGGCTGTGTGTCAGAGGGAGTCTTTTCAGTTACCAGCCCCAGCTCCCTGTCCCAGCCGAGGTGACAGTGGCCGTCCACACACTGCCTTCCTCACTGTGGGTCTCCGAGCTAGCGTCCTGCTCTGCTGCAGCCCATGGGGTGGGGCGGGGCAGACTTCACCATGGAAGTCACAGGGCTGGGCTTTGGAATGCCCAGAGGTGTTAGATATCTACCTCAGGTCAGACACTTCGTAGTAAGTGGAGGTAAGTCAGTGAACATCGATAAGCAGGGAACAGTATTTGCAATCATTTTGCTCTCAAATGTCATAGAACAAATTTGTGACCATTGCTATGAAATAATTTAGTGAATGAAAGCTTAATATCAAGTATTTTCAATATCCATATTTTTATCCAATCTACTTTTCAAAATATCATTTGCTCATTAAAGTGAAAGTACTTCAAGGACCGTCAAGAAAGCCTCACCTTGGCCGGGAGTGGTGGCGCATGCCCATAATCCCAGCACTTGGGAGGCTGAGGCAGGAGGATTCTTGTGAACTCAAGGCCAGCCTGAGCTGCAAAGTGAGTTCAAGACTAGCCTGAACTGCACAGTGAAACTCTTGTTTCAAAGAAGACACCCCCCAAAAAAAGAAAGAAAGCCTTACCTGACGGGGGACAGAGCTCAGAGCTCACTGGTAGAGCACCTGCCTTGCAGGTGAAAGCACCATTGGATCCCACTGGGAAAAAAGTCTTACCCAAACCACACTAGCAGTTTCTGGAGTGCATGTGACTGCGCCTTCTGAACTGCAAGGCTCCGGGCCATCTTCCTTTTCATAGGGAATGGCATCGATCTAACCGAAACAGATGGACTCAGCATACCTACCTGAAGGGTGACTGTTGTGTTTACAAACTAACCGTACACGCATGACCGTCCTCCTGGGTGCAAGGCAGGCACTGTGAGAGGCTGTGGTTGGATGGCCCCCTGGTTGGCATATCCTGGTAGGGCCGTTTTGGTGTCCTGATCTGTTGTAAAGTTCCTGATGTACCACAAGGGACGTCTAAGCCAGGAATTTGGTACGACTCGTTCCCCGTGGAGGTCACATTAACAAGAAACAATAAACTGCCCCGCTAAGTTATCCTGTCCCTGGTGTTTTGTTGTTGTGCAGAGCACTTGCCGCTACAGTGGTCAAACCACAGAACCTGTCCTGAACACAGAGGTTCCCGGCACGTTCAGCTGTGTGTGACAAGCCGGGGAGGCCGTGCCCAGGGGAGCTGAGCTGGAAAAGGTAAGGAGAAGCATCGGGCAGGAAGGGCCCACAGAGGGCCACCGCTGGCCATGGCTCAGGGGCTGCAGGGTCAGGAAGCACGGTGGGGCGGTGAGGAGGAGTCAGGAGAGACGGCCGGGAGGCAGGGCCCGCAGGGCTTTCTCCAAATCAGGGAAGAGGCACATAATCACTTCGATGTTTCCATTCCCCTAGATTAAAACAACTCTTTCCTTTATTTTTCAAAAGTTTGACAATGAACATGTACAGATTTCCTTTTTTTATTTTTGTCTTTTTGAGACAGGGTCTCACTATGCACTTCAGGCTGGCCTTCAGCTCACTTTGTAGCTCAGGCTCGTCTTGAACTTGCAACGATCCTCCTGCCTCAGCCTCCCAAGTGCTGGGATTACAGGCGTGGGCCATGAGGCCTGGCCAGATTTCCTAATAAAATGAAAAATGTTATCTTTACAAATAAAGGGCCAGGGTCACCCTTGCAG